TCTTCTCTTCTCTCTTTGGGAATCTTGATGATGCTGCATCATCTAACATATGACTATCATTCTAAACAAAAAGTCATGGTGGTGGTCTTAAGGTAATGTTTTTCTGCCTTTTGTAATTTACATATTTAATTTGCAAAAGGGTTTAACATGATATTTAATAATTTATATATAGTTTTAGTATGAGTAATGATGTCGATCGTCAATAATAGGGAATTATTCAACTATAGCTAGAAATTTCTTGCTATAAAATGTTCATTGTTTAGGTGCATCATAGTAGGTTACTTGCTATATATTTTCCATGTTTTTGTAGTCCACATATCAATAGACAATTGATTACGTCTACTTATCTTTTAAGTGATCTGAGTGCGTATTAAATCCATTTACCAACATTAATTAGTTTATATAAGTTATAAACTTGTTTGAAATATTGTAGGGTTATGTTTGTTCTTCTCTTCGACTTTTGGTTGTTTATATGATTTGAAGGTTTACTATGACAAATTTGACTATTAGGACAAATTTGGTATACTGTTTTTTTTAATCAGCAGGCGCGCGGTATAGTGACATTACAATTATTCCATCAGTATGAATCACCTTATTGTGATGTAATAATGTGAAATATTAATCCCACTTTTTATAGAAGAATGCTTGTGATCTTGTTTTCTAGGTTATTAATCCAACTTTTTGAATTGTAGTTAAATTTATAGTTACCTTTTAAGTGATATATATATATATATATATAGAACTTCACAATATAGTTATAGAACTTCACAATCTAGCTTGTATAATATACAAGGGAAATCTGTTGCTGATCAAGGTGACAATTAACATGTATTTTATGAAATTAATTGAGGTGCGTGTAAAGTGTCTTGAGATCATACTTGCAACACTTCCCATTGTTCTTTATTCCATTTTGTTGTCCCATGCATCAATAAGATTTTTCTCACAGAGATTATCCTTCTGCTCAATTTGTGAGTGTTTTGAATTTTAAAATCAATTGATATCAATGCAAGTGACCATCTCCAACTTGACATTTGAATATGCACAACTTGCCAAATAGAAATATATAGAATAGATTTAGTTAATTACTCTTATAAAAAGTACAGAAAATGTAATAGTGTAATCATTGTCAATCAACTTGCACTAATAACAAGCACTCAATAATAGTTTGGTCAAGAAATAGAAGTGAAACTTTTCCTTGTTAATATTTGTCCATGAAAATAAATAAAAATCACTTTAAAAATTTTAAAGTTGGAATTGGAGTTGGATGGAAGTTATGTTTGGTCATAATTTTTACAGTTAATATTTAGAATTTAAATTAAAAAAATAAAAATAAAATTTGAACATGCATTTTAATTTAAATGAGATTATTTTAAGAATTCTTTCGAAAACAAAATAAATTAAAAAATTTGAAAAGTGAAAGTAAAACAAGTGAGTTTCTAGTGTTTGATAAGTAAGTAAAAAATAATATCCAAAGAGCTTTTATATATAAGCTAGCAAAACATTATGAAAATGAGATGGGGTGAAGAGTGAGAGTTGAGGGGGGGGAGGGGAGGGGGGAATGGTAAAGAGATGCGGGTTGGAGACGTTGGGTGGGTGGGGATGAGACCAAGGGTGGAGCTAGGATTTTCGTTGAGGGAGTTCAAGAAAGGCATGCTAGCTCTTCGGTATGAATCACATATGAATAGGTCGAATCAAATATGAGAGGCGACACTTGCTTTACTAAGCTCTGAACTCCCATAGCATCTGAACTAAGCACCTTACTTGTGTTGAGGGGGCTCCATATAAAATATATACACATGAAATACATATTTAATCTTATATACATAATATAATTTATATGAAAGGTACTTTCACATCTCTCTCTAATTATCCCCTGAAATGCCAATGTAGAGAAAAATCAAATGCATATATTAGCTCTTCCTAGCTTATAAGAAGGTGACTCTAATCCTAGTTTAATTTTGTAACTAGCGATTATAAATAGTTTAGATGTGCTTAAAAGTCATCAACTACAATTTGAAGATAATGTTGATTATGCCGGCCTCCAACAAACTTTTCATAACGATGAAAAGCTTTAAATAAGTACATAGTAATTTAGAGCAAGAGTGAAAGACACTTGACTATAAGAAGAAGAAAAAAAAACTCTACAAACTGACGACTGCTGCTTCGTATAGAAGAAAAGAATTATAGATATGTTGGTCATTAGAAGGAAGGATCCAACCCTATAAAGTGAGTGAATTAGGAATTGTCAATTTACATAGATAATGTATTATAAGTATATATTATAGGTAAATTTCAAATATTTCAGTACTATTTAAATTAGTTTACGTTGTTAGAAATGTATTATATTTACTTTAGAATAATAACTATCAAATTTATAACAATGTATAATATTCAATTCGAATTGTATTACAACTATTGTTTATATTTAATATAATTTTTAAAAGTTTCACCTCTTGTTCTTCGCTGAATCACCACCACCATCACAAGACTACCAATAGCTAATTCTCTCCCTAGTTTGAAATAATAATATATTATCTCACTAATTAATAAATTAATATAAATTTCAAGTCAGATACACTTAGATACATGTATTTTTTCTACCAGATACACTAAAATAGGGAGAGAGGCGAGCAAAGAAGGAAAGAGGCGAGCAAGGTAGTATATGTATCTGAGATACATGCGAATTACATCAAATACATGTATATATCTGGATACTAGGTACATTCTGAAATATAGATACATATAGAGAGGGGAGTGAGAGAGTCAAATACATGTGAATCCACTTAGATACAATGTATCTAGAATAAATTACACCTAATTTGACCCCATATATCTAGATGCGCCAGATACATATATCAAAATTCTAAATTCTAGTAAGATTCATAATATTAAAAATTAGCATGAATCTAAGTAATTAAATTTTAAAATAGTGAAATTTGTGTTGTTTACCCTATTAACAAGGACTTAGACGTGAATAGTAGAACTAGTTGTAGTTTATATGAACTAGGGAAAAGGCCCTAATATATGGACTAGATCATTAGTGTAATGTATAAGTGAATCATTTATGACAAAAAATATATTAACTGTAAATCACAAATTAAAGAGGTATATCAAGCTCTTTTCCCTTTAGACAGTCAAATTATAGCCCTAAGAGTAAGTCAGATAATTAGGCACGTAACATCCAACGGTAATTTCTCTCTCTAAAAAAATTCTCTTTGACTTCTCTCTAACATTTTTTGATTCCGATGAACCCAATCGGGCAAAATCCGGCAGTCCCGCCAGATCCTCCGCCTATCCCAACTAGCAAAATCACGGCCAATAAAGATTTGGAGGATTTAAACCTCAATTCTGCCCTCAAGCAGAAAACTCCTCAAGGAAACCCAGATGAAAATCAATATAAAGAGCTTATCAATCTTGCCCTTAACAACCCAGATTTCTTGCAAGCTCTTCAATCAGCTCTAGTCAAGGTAAACAACACTACAGAGGATGCTAAAAAAAGAAAAGGAGACGATCAATTCAAGGTCTCTACTAACTTCGACCGACCCGTCAAAAACTACAATAAAGGAAATGCCTCTAACAAAATCGACAATCACGATCCTAATCCAAAGCCAAATTCTACTCAGAAAAATATTGATTCAGACGAGCCAGCAACTGAGGATCATATCAATCAAAATCTGAATCAACAAATTTTGATATCAAATGCGATGAATAATGCTACTGGAGGTCAAAGATCGAAACCCAGCGAACCCTCAAAGCCCACGTTCGCAGCAGCCGTTCAATCTAGGCTCACATCCTCTAGTGCTGGAAAAACTCATGTAGACATTAAACATGGAACACATTTGGGCAAACCTGCAGTTTATTTCTCAGCCGAAGACTACTTCGGCAGCCTAGCTCAAGATTGCAAATGGACCATTGTGGGGAAGTTCATTAAAGGAAAGCCAACTATGGAGGAACTAAGGAAACTTTTCATTGGGCAATTTCAACTGTTAGGTACTGTCAAAATTGCTTTCTATGACTATAGATGTGTTTACCTGGACTTTACTAATGAAGTAGATTTCAAGCATATCTACTTTAAGCCTTTTATTGATATTGGTCCATACACTATGAAAGTCATGAAATGGACACCTGATTTTAAACCTGAGCAAGCAACATCTACTGTCCCCATATGGATTTTAATCCATAAACTTCCTTGGCACTTGTTTAGATGGGATATCCTGTCTAAATTGGTACAATCTATTGGTATAGCAGTTGCTCTAGATCAAGCCACTTTTTCCAAATCTAGGGGAAATGTAGCCAAAATCAAAGTGGAGATTGACCTCCTAAGACCAAAACAAGAGGAAATTTGGCTTGGATATAAAAGACCGGATGGGTCTGAAGATGGAGAATGGCTGAAAATTGAATATGAAGATGCTCCTAGTTACTGCGCTTATTGCAGACTTCAGGGACACACAGAAATGGAATGCAGAACTAAGATAAATCGTGAAAATGAAAAAAGATTGAGAGAAGAGCAAATGAAAAATAAAAAGATTACTACACCTCAATCTCAAGAAATTGAAGATGGCTTTCAGGAAGTTAGCAGAAAGAAAGGAAAACAAAACAGGAAAAATGTTGGGGTGGTCATCAGTGAACCCAATGCTCATGATCAAAAGAAAAAAACTTTGCCTCTTGTGGAAGGGAAAGGAAAAAACGCCACAAATGAGACAACAAACAATGTTGTAATAGGGGAGCAATAACAAAGAACGGAAAAAGGTGAAACAAGTAGACTCCAAGAAGAAAAGCAAGACCAAAATGAAGGGGAGAAAATTTTGGATGAAGAAACTCATATCTCTGGCAATAAACACAAGACGCAAAAGGATGATACTTCAAAAAAGAACAAACATAAGAGCAATCAACAAAAAAATAAGAATGACAACAAAAAGGTTAATTGGGAAGATCAAACCAATACACGACAGAAAAATACTACCGAAATAAAAAAGCCTCAAAAACACCCGGTTGATCAGATGCAAGCCAGCTCCACTACTGACCAAATTCTGTCCAAACAAAAAAAGACCTCTGTCCTACCAAAAATCAAACCCAAGAACCAAATCACTAGACACAACCAACAAAACCCACAACCAAATCAAACTACAACCAAATCCACTGACAAATCCAAAATAATACACAAAGCCCATGACAAAAAAAAAATCACAACCAAAGCTATAGACACCCACGAGCATCAATCCTCTGAGGAAGAGGAAGAGGAAGAAACAGAAGAAGATACCGAAACAGAAAATGAGAAAATTCGAGAGAGCAGTGATAATAGTTATGAAGGTGTGGAGGATAATGATGATGCTTCAACAAGTGATGAAGAAGCCGAGAATCAATTTCATACTTTTAGTACTATCCAACAGGAACCAGAAGTCGCTAAAGCTTTTGAGGATTTATCAGGGAAAATGAATCTCTCACCTAGAGGTTCGCAAAACACTAGAGGTGACAATATCAATAGAGGAGGCAGAGGAGGTAGAATTAGAAAACCTGTGAAAAAAACACAGGATCAAAGCTCAACTTCCAATCAATTTTGATGATTAAGTCCATCTTTTGGAATGTGAGAGGCATCAACAGTCAAGGTGCTTTTGATAGACTTAATCAAATTAAAAGACTTCACAATCTTGCTTTTATTGCTATTATGGAACCTTTTAGCAAAAGGACCAAACTTGACAAATTCAAAAGGCGATTGGGTTACAACTTCGCTTACTCAAACTATAACAATAAGATTTGGATTTTTTGTGATCAGCTCTATGATTGTGTCATTATTCAAGATAAAGAGCAGCAAGTCACCTGTAGCATCACTACTCATGATGTGACGACCCTAAAAACGAACTAGTGAAACTAGAGTCTCACATGTGAGTTTGGAGTTGGGAACTTGATGAAATGATGAGAAATGACCGTGACGTCCGGAAACTAGTCATTTGAACTAGTGAGTTGTAAGGCTCAACTTTAAATGGTCATATCTTTTAGCTCAAAATGAATTAGGTGGACCTTTACTTATCCAATTAAAGGTCTTTGAGTCCTCTTTCCAACGCCACCGAGTTTTCCCAATTCCGACCTGGGAGTAAAAAGTTATGCCCGAAATATTGAAGCACTGTCAGGCTGAAAAAAAAGGGCGAACTAAGACGGGAAGGGGTAGAATTTTTAAGTTAAGACTTTATGGGTCCTTAGTCCTTTTCCAAAATTGACCCTATGTTATTTTATTCTTTTCCTAGCAACTATAAGACCTTTTTATGACTTAATTCCTTTTCATTTAAGTCACTCCTCTTAGAATTTCCAAAATCATTCCCTCTCTCAAATATTTCTCTCTAACTCAAGGAAGAAGAGGAGTTGGAGCTAGGGTTGAAGATTTCGAGTGCTTCTTCTCCAATTTTCGTGGGTTTTCAACTTAGAGGTATGGGGATCCTTATCCTTGATTATTCTTTCTTTCAAGGAACCCAATCAAAAGGTTTTCAAGGTTTTTCAAATACACACAAAAACCTATTTCGATTCTAGCATGGGTTCTTGCATAAAAAGGTTTTAAATAATGATTTATATGGTTATTAATGATTATTAATGGTTTTTAGAAAGAAATCCCCATGAACCCATGTCTTCTCAAATTCTCTAAATTTGGCCTAAAGTGGGTGTATTGATTTTGTGTAATTGATGGATGATTATTGTGTAGATTGTTGTGGACTGTTCATATATGTATTTATCTATGTGGAATTGTTAAGAATTGTTAGTGAATTGAAGGATGTGGGATGTTAGCCTTGAATGGACAAAATTGTGAATTGGTCTTCATGTTGATTATTGGCTTATGCTTAGCTTAGCTTGTAGAGTTGAATGTTGTTATTATCATTGTTATTGTATTGTTAATTGTTGGAATATGAAGATGATGAAGATAGCCATGAAAAGAGGGTAAGTTGATCAAACTTGATAAATATTGTATAATTGGCATGGAATTGAGTATTGTGGCTTATGGCCTTTGAACAGGGTGGTAAGATGGCTTGATCTCTTAGTATTAATATAATTGTTATTGGTTGGTTTGATCCACCTTTGGTGGAGGTGGTTATTTGTTGTATTATTGTGAATTGAGGCCATGAAGGGCATTATGTGAATGTTAATATATTGTTGTATTATTATACACATATGAGGCTATATGTAAAGTCCTATATGAAGCTATATGTAAAGTTTTATATGAAGCTATATGTGAAGGTATGATGTGAATGAGTTTTATGTGATCTTGTGATGATCCTATGTAAAGTGGATAGCATTGTGAGTTAAAGTATGACTTCTCATGATGTATATATGAAATGATGTTGGATTATGAAGTATCCTTAAATGAAAATGTTGTAACTTGGTTGGTAGACTAAAGTGTCCCTCCTTGTTACTTAAAAGTCTTGAATGCATAAATATGTGAAGTGGGCAGAACTAAGAAATGGAGCCCTTTCTATAAATGCTAAAAGAGAAATTCTAAGCCAAGACTTGAATCGGCAAAACTAAGAAATTGTGCCCTTTCATAAGTCTAGCTTTCCTAAGTAAATGTAAAACCATGAAATTGGTAGACCTAATGGTGGTAGCCCTTCTCATGTGTGAAATGATGAACCTTGGACCGGTAGGCTTAAGGCACCCTTAATGAAAAATCGGTAGGCCTAAGGCACCCTTCCAGGGGGATTTAGTGAGCTATTCTTAATGAACCTTGATCGGTAGATCCTTGTGGTGCCCTTCTTGGTAGATGTGCTATGGGTCGGTAGACCTAATGATGGTGCCCTCTCTAGCACATACATGTGAATGAAATTACTCCATGGGAACTAAGGCTAAGCACCGAGTGGATATGGTTAAGATGGTAGCTCTCCCGAGTATGAAGCAAGAGTACAATGAACATATTTGGATATCCCCTAAACCATGTGCCTACATGAGATGTGTCCTAGTTCTACCCTTGGCAAGTAGAACACCTTCCACGGTGTAGGGTTTTATGACATCGGATTCCATGTCTAGCTCGCATGGTCTATGTCGGTTAATGCCTATTCCCATCATGTGGGATGTGCACTCTAGTTATTGGATAGGTTCTACAACGTGTAGGTAGTAATATGGGATGCTATCTACACATGGCACGAGTAGGCTTTGAAGATGCTAAAGTGAGTTCCCTAAGCCTTAATGGCTAATGTATGAAAGTCCTCTAAATACATGAATGTCTCCAAAATGGTTTCTTAAAGAATGTTGGTCTATTGTTGTTAGGTTGTGAAGGAAATGTCCTTATCTAAGGTAATCTTGGGGAACACTTAAGTGTGCTTGAAGAGGTTGTATGGGCGGTCACTTCTTGTCTCACTCAAGTGTGTCTTAAGATTATATTAGGTAGAGGTCCTATGGTAATGAAATGACATGTGTTTTTTTAAAGTTAAGCATGGGTTGTATATGGACATATGTTGAGTGTATGTATGGTTGGCTATGGTCTTATATGTTAATGTTGACTTGTATTATGTCTCTTATACTTATAAAGGAAAGGTTTTATCAAATGATATGAAAGCATTTACTTCCTTGAAAATGTCCTTTTTGGCATGTTTTTGCATAGTCTCCATACTTAGTACTTAATTGTGCTAACCCCTTTCTTTCCCTTTTTTTTGACTAAAGTGTAGGGATTTGGAGATGATGACATGTCATGGCTATTTGATAGGTTTCTAAGTGTTGAAGATGAAGACTTGGTGAGTCCTCATATATTCGAGGACAATACCCTATATGTTCTTTTATGTCTTTTTAGTATTGTTTAAGTTGTGTATGGGATTAGTCCCAAATTTTGTACTCTAAAGTATTAGATGGTTTTGAGACATCATGTATAAAGTCTAGAAAGTCTTCTGCTTGCTATATATATTTTTTTTATGAAATGTTTTCTTGGTAAAGAAAGTTTTAAATTCTTTATGGTTTTTGTGTCTATGCGATGAATGAATGCTAAGAGGCTTGTATTAGACCTCTTCGAGGTCGAGTACGCCGGTTACGACTAGGGGGTGCTCCCGGGTGGTGACACATGAGGAAACCATTCTATTGACTGTCATATATGCAAAATGCAAGGATCATTTAAGGGAGCCACTTTGGAATGATTTGAGATACATTGCTAATAACATGAATCTTCCTTCGTTGGTCGCAGGAGATTTTAATGTTATTTTGGCTCCAGAGGAGAAACAAGGGGGTAACTCTCATAGAATGTATAAAAGTATACCTTTTATAAATTGTATGATGGATTGCTCCTTGATAGATATTGGATTCCTTGGTTCTATCTATACTTGGTGTAATGGTCGAGGAAAAGGAAAAAGAATTTGGAAAAGACTTGATAGAGTATTAATAAATACTGAATGGTCACTCAAGTATGTTGATACCACAGTCACCCATCTTATCAGGACTGGATCTGATCACTGCCCTCTTTTGATTTCTATATCCTCTTCTCATCAAACTCATCAGAAATATTTTAGATTCTTGGATCTATGGACTCAAGAACCTGGTTTTAATGAAACAATGAAGGCTGCCTGGAATGAAGATACTAGTGGATCACCCATGTGGAATTTCCACTTGAAATTGAAAAACACATGTAGAAAGCTATCTCAGTGGTCGAGAAACAGTGTTGGTAACATTTTTGATAACACTAAAGCTATGGAAAAAAATGTTGCGGATTTAGAAGAAATTTGCTTGACCAACAATTCTGATAGCAACAGAATGGCTTACAACTGCGCAAATGCTCAACTTATTATGCATATCAAGAAGGAAGAAGCTTTTTGGAAACAAAAGGCTGGTATGAAATGGCTTCAAAATGGTGGCTCTAATACCAAATTTTTTCATACCATCATGAACAATAAGAGAAGAAGATTAGTCCTCAAAAAGATCAAAAAGGATGATAACACATGGATTGAAGGAAGTGATGAAATTGCTAAGGAAGCAATAAATTTCTTTGAATCCCAATTCAGTAAGGACGATTCTCACAAAGATTTCAGTATTCTAAATTGTCTACCATGTGTGATAAATGAAGAAGACAATAATATACTGGATGCCCTACCTACTATGATTGAGTTGAAAGAGGCAGTATTCTCACTAAGTGCGGATAGTGCTCCTGGACCAGATGGTTTAACAGGAACATTTTATCAAAAATGTTGGGATATTATCTCGATTGATTTATTTAACATGGTTTGTGATTTTTTTGCAGGTACTCCACTTCCAAGATCTTTCACTCATTCATGTCTTATCCTTATTCCAAAGACTCCAAACCCTCAAAGATTTACAGATTTGAGACCAATAAGTCTAAGCAATTTTAGCTCTAAGATCATATCCAAAATGCTGAACACAAGACTATCTAAAGTCATTCATAAAGTGGTCTCACCGAATCAAACAGGATTCATGAGGGATAGATCTATCACTGATAACATCATGCTCACTCAAGAGCTAGTTCACAACATTAAGAATCCAAACGTCAATGGTAATGTTATCATTAAACTTGACATGACTAAAGCATTTGATAGAGTTGATTGGATTTTCTTATGTCAAGTTCTCAGGCAGTTTGGATTTTCTGAATACTGGATTGATATGATATGGAGGCTTCTTGCAAACAATTGGTACTCTATCAATATAAATGGAAGCAGACATGGTTTCTTCAAATCGGGAAGAGGAATTAAACAAAGAGATCCTTTGTCACCCTCTCTATTTATTATTGGAGCTGAACTTTTGACCAAACTTATGGAGCAACTCATAAGTGAAAGTTTCATTCCCTACTCAGTCGATAAAGGATGTCCCTCTTTTACTCACCTCAGCTATGCAGATGACACTATTCTTTTCTCTTCTGGGGATCCTCTGTCTTTAATGGCTATGATGAATAAGCTTTCTGTTTACGAGAAATGTTCTGGACAACTCGTCAACAAAGACAAGTCTTGTTTTCTAGTAGCTCCAAATACTCATGAGTCCTTGACAGATGACATTAAGAGAATAACTGGTTTCTCTCAATCTAACTTTCCTTTCACGTATTTGGGATGTCCCATTTATTTTGGTAGACAAAGAGTCAAGTATTTTGATGGTCTTATCTCTAAAATTACTGGTAGATTGCAAGGTTGGCAAGGCAAGATGATTTCTTGTGGGGGTAGAGCCGTCTTGATAAAAGCAGTCCTTCAATCATTGCCCCTTCATATGCTTTCAGTGATACATCTTCCGAAAACAACTACTTCTCAGATTGAAAAGTTGTTTGCTAATTTCTTTTGGAGTGAGACTGAAGGAAAAAAGAAACATCATTGGATTGCTTGGAAAAATCTTTGTTATCCCACTGACGAGGGTGGAATAGGAATCAAATCAATCCAAGACATTAACAATAGCTTTAGTGCTAAAGTTTGGTGGAGCTTTAGAACTAGAAATACCTTATGGAGGAACTTTCTTGAAGCTAAATATTGCCCAAGAGCGCATCCAGTGAAGAAAAAATGGGTTTCAGGGCAGTCTCACACCTGGAAAAGAATTCTTCATGTAAGGAGTGATTGTGAGAAGTACTTAGTTTGGAAAATTGTCAAAGGAAATTGTTCTTTCTGGTGGGATAATTGGTTAGGTACCGGTAATCTTGGACAACATTTTCCTCATACTCGAAGATCCAAAAAACTCAAAGTTGCAAACTTTATGATTGGCAACACTTGGGATGAAAACAAGCTTCTCCGTATTCTTCCTATGGATATGGTTAAGCAAATCCAAAATATTAACATCTATGAGGGAGAAGATGACTTTCCGATATGGACTCCTGACACTCATGGTTTCTTCACTTGCAAATCTGCTTGGAAAGTTCTCAGGGAAGGAAGGAATACTACTTTGATTGCCGAAAAAATTTGGCACCACAAAATTCCTTTCAAAATCTCTTTCTTTATGCTTAGACTACTTAAGAACAAATTGGCTACTGATCAAGCTCTTCATCGATTTCGTGTCGCAGGACCATCTAGATGTTCTTGTTGTAAGAACTATGCTACAGAAGACACAAACCATCTTTTCAGAAATGGAGAACTTGCTGATGAAGTTTGGAATTATTTTAATATCCATAGTGATATTTTTGATAATCACAACAACATTAGAAGTACTTTGATGAACTGGTGGCTGTCTGATGCGAAAAACAAAGTTCATTCTTTTGTTCAACTATGCACACCTATTGTCATATGTTGGGAGCTGTGGAAGGCTAGATGCAGTCATCGATATGAAGGAATCAAATGCAATCCCCTCAGAGTTATCTCTCAGGTAATTTCTTTGGTAAAGTTGTTAATCAATTCTAATTTTCCTTGTCTTAACTTGGACAGGGAATGACATATAGCATGGCAGCAGATTGAAGTACTTAAGCCGAGACTAGACATTCGATGCATCAAATGGATTAAACCAATAAAATATAAATTAAACACCGACGGCTGCAGTAAAGGCAACCCAGGAAAGGCAGGAGGTGGAGGCATTTTAAGGAACGAGAGAGGCCACTTGATTATGGCATATGCTGAATATTTTGGAGAATGCTCAAACAATATGTCTGAAGCTAAAGCAATTCTCTTTGGTATCGAATGGTGCCTAGATAAGGGATTTACAAACATTTTGGTAGAATCTGACTCCATGTTAATTATTAATATGATTAATGGAAAAGCTAAAACACCATGGCAAATCAAGCACATCATTGAAGACATTCATAGCCTTAAGGTACAAGGCACCTTCTCTTTTCAACATTGTTATAGAGAAGTGAACATGATAGCAGATTATCTAGCAAATATGGGAGTATATACTATGCAAAGATCATTCTTCACAGAGTTTTTGTCTCTTCCTATGAGAGTTAAAAAACTTATGAAGAACGAAATAGAAGAGCTCCCAACCTTTCGGATTAGAGCTCAAACGAAAACCTTCTCTTTTGATCATGGTTGATTTTAACAAGAGTTTAGTATATTTTGTAGTTAGTATTCTAATGTCTAACAGAATTTACATTGTAAATGATTTGTCCTTGACAAATTTCATATGTGGTTATTTCATTCCTAATAGTAGGGGACATTTCTTGTACAAAGAGGAAATCTACATCCTCCATGTAACTCAAGGGGGCTTGGACAAATATCCACCCTCTTCTTTTGTAAGTGTGATCTTTTGAAGCAAAAAAAAATAATAAAATAGCCCTAAGAGTCTAATATATGTTGCAACAACTCATGTACTACAATCAAATTACTAGAATCGTCAATATGGACTTGGTCCATTCTAGCTTGTGATTTGAGAAAGTTGAATTAAGATTCTTTAGAGCCCATTTAACAATGAGTCTTCTAATTCCGTCTCAAGTAAAATCATTGGCCCGTGAAACTTGAGCGAGGTTGTGTTAAACCTAATAAAAAGTACTTATTAAAAAAATATAAACAAAAATGAAGTAAAGTACTAACATGTTGGTAAAATTTTACACAACAAATTGTGGCAACGTGTCAGTCTTAATAGCCAATTCTAACAATTTTTCAGAATTACAGTTAAAACTCTAGTGATAAATTTGTAGTCAAACTCTAGCAATTCTTCAGAATTTTGTTACCATAACGAGACTAGCATATGCTAGAAGTTAGTTGTCCTCAAATTTTAATGACTCATAAAGATTTCAATCACAAGAGTTGTGGTAATAGTAAGTTATGGTAATCCTCGGTATTTTTGTCACAAATTATGATGAATTGTTAACCTATTTTCACATTCTTGGCTGAAAATCGTGGGAATTTGATCAGAAATCCTGACAATCACCTAACTTGTTGTATGTATAGAAATTTCAGCAACATATTTTTAGTTTAGAATTGATCTAAATTAACTCTAATTTGATATGCAGTCCTCTATTGTCTTCACTCTAATTCCCAATTGTTAGATTCAACCCCAACAATTATATACATGAAGAGTTGATTGCTCTCTAATTTTATTTTTTAATTTATCTAAAAGAAAACCTGAGTAATCAAAATAAAAATAATTAAATATAGAAAACAAAGATAACAAAAGGAAACAATTAAAATAGGAAGTCACCATAATATTGACATTATTTAACAACTACAAGGAGCTAACAATTAAATGTAACACAATAAATGAATCACCTGGTCATGTTAGTTTTTTGCCTTATGAGTAGTTAGTTATGATGTTGGATTAGTTAGAAGCAATTAGCAAGATAAGATTCTTTCTTATTTATATATAAGGCATTGTATCACTACATTTTGAATCATCTATTGAATATACAAGTACACTTTTCGATGGAATTCTATTCTTCATCTTCTATCTTTTCATCCACCATAGCTGAATAACTCTAGCTAGCTTCTCCGCTAAGCTCATGTCTAGCTGCTAAAACCTCGGATTCCTTTGAGAATCCCTGCATTTTGGCTAACATTAGTATCAGAGCCATAAGAATCCTTGGCAACAATGATAAAATCAGCAAGAGCAAATGAGAATTGCGTGAAATTGTTGACATAAATAAGAGTCTGTAACTACTCTTCAAGTTTAAAATTAGGAGTTAGTTAATTTGTTATAAAGTTGTTAGTTACATTCTAGATCTAAGAATAGAATGAGAAGTACATGTATAAATAGCTGTGATACAACTTTATTGAACATAACTTTTTCTTCTCAAATCTATGAAAGATTAATCTTCTATTTTTCTACAAACAACTCTGTAGACCTTCATGGTATCAAAGCCTTGATCAAAGTCTAGTAGATCAGGGGCATAAGATTAGATTTCTGAAGATTAGAGTCTGGAAAATTCATCAGATTTCTGAAGATCAGAATCTGAAAGAATCATCAAGCTTCCGCGATACAAATCAAGAAAAATAGCAAGATCAATGGCAAACAATGGTGGCCAAGATACTAAGATCGGTAATGGTGGAGTTCCTGGTCATGGAAATACCACACCAATGATTCCTGCGTGGAAGCTTCTGCGATACAAATCAAGAAAAATAGCAAGATCAATGGCAAATAATGGTGGCCAAGATACTGAGATCAGTAATGGTGGAGTTCCTGGTCATGGAAATACCACACCAATGATTCCTGCAAATCAAGTAGTGGATTATAACCATCCTCTGTACTTAAGTCCTGCTGATGTTAGTTGGGTTAACCTCATCTCTTTTCAACTCCTTGGGATCGAAAACTATGTTGTGTGGAGGCGATCCATTCGTTTGGCATTGCTTGGAAGAAACAAAATTGGACTGGTAGATAGAACCTGTAGGAAGAATGATGTGAGTGCAGAGTTATGAGGTCAGTGGGAAAGATTAAATGCGATAGTTCTCTCTTGGCTTCTAAATTCTGTGTCCAAAAGTCTGTTAGCAGGAGTGGCATTTGCAACATCTGCCCAAGGGGTTTGGAGTGACTTGAAAGAAAGATTCGATCGGCTGGATGGGTCAAGAACTTTCAGTTTGCATAAAGAAATTGCTACACTTCAACAAGGTACAGATTCTGTGTCTGTCTATTTTACAAAGCTTAAAGGATTGTGGGATGAATATGAAACTTTGATGCCATGTCCTGGATGTGACTGTGAGAGGTCAAAAGGTTTTATTGAACATCAAAATAGACAAAAGCTCTATCAATTCCTGATGGGATTGAATGAGTCATTTGGACAGGTAAGAAGTCAAATTTTGTTGATGAATCCAGTTCCTGGAGTCAATCAAGCCTATGCTATGGTGGTGAATGATGAGTGTTAGAAATTGACTTCCAGTGGTGTTAATATAGGACTGAACTCCATCTATTCTACTGGGGTTGATCCCTTAGTAATGTATTCAAGAACTGGAGGTCAGTCTAACAGCCAAGGATATAACAGGTTCAAGAAGAACTTGGGGTTGATATGTGAATTCTGCAGATGCAAAGGGCATTCTAAATAACAATGCTACAAGTTGATAGGATACCCTCCTGATTTTAAGTCGAAGAGAATAGTGAATAATGGAGCAGGTCATAATGCTTACATGACTGTGAATTTAATACTACGAGAAAAGATGCATATGATGGGATGTCAAATGATCTTTTATTCAACTATGGGAATGCCACTCATGATAAGGGTCAAAGATCACAAGCTAACACTAGTGCAGTGGGTGAAATTGAGAATCATCTGCAAGGCTGTACTTTCACCAAAGACCAATACAGTCAAATTCTGAAGATGCTTAACCAGAATCAAGATTGTGGAAACATATCAGGGAGTGCAGCTTATGGAGTTCAGGCTAATTCAGCAGGTAAAGCTTTATTAGTTTCTGAACATAGTGAGATATGGATTATAGACACAGGTGCCACCAACCATATGAGCTCTAATATTGGTATGTTAACTAATGAGTCTATAGTGAATGTTAAGGATCCAAAACCTGTAAGCTTGCCTAATGGTGAAGTATCTTATGTAACTCACTCTGGATCCTGCTCAATTTCCCCGAGAAGTGTAATAACAAATGTATTTCACATTCCAGAGTTCAAATACAATTTGTTGTCAGTTAGTCAGATGACAAAGGAGTTAGGATGCTCAGTCACTTTCTTTCCACATTTCTGTGTGTTTCAGGAACTCTACACTGGCAAGGTGAGAGAGATTGGTAAGAAAGATGATGGGTTGCATTTGTTGTTGAAGAATCTTACACAAGGTCAGGTGCAATTTCAGTCTTGTTTGGCAGAATTAAAAGGAAAAGAAGCAAAGCAGTTATCAGAAGAAGAAGTGAATGTATGACACAAAAGATTAGGACACATGTCATCTCATGCATTGATCGGGTTATTTTCTGTTAGTCCAGAGGTTGTGAACAAAGCTTTGAATAAATGTAATGTGTGTCCTTGTGCAAAACAAACAAGAGCTGTATTTCCAAGTAGTAGTATTAAAAGTATTGACTGTTTTGACTTGATTCATTTGGACGTATGGGGTCCATACAAACAATCTACTTTTGATGGTAATAGATTCTTTCTTACCGTGATTGATGATTACTCAAGAATAACTTGGTTGTTTCTGTTGAAAAATAAGTCAGATGTATGTGTTACTTTGTCGTATTTTCTGCAGTTTGTTAAAACTCAGTTTGGTAAAGTAGTAAAGAAGGTAAGATCTGATAATGGGTCAGAGTTTGTAAATTCTGTGTGTACAAAGATGTTCAAAGATAGAGGAATAACACATCAAAGGTCTTGTCCTTACACTCCACAACAAAATGGAGCAGCAGAAAGGAAGCATAGACATGTGTTAGAGGTTACTAGGGCAGTAAGGTTTCAAGGCAACATTCCTTTAATATATTGGGGGTAGTGTGTGGTTGCAACAACATATTTGATAAATAGGATGCCTAGTAAGGTACTAGGAGGACAATCTTCATATGAGAAGCTCTATGGAAATAAGGCAATGCTAACACATCTAAGGGTA